TCTACTTCCGGGAAAATCTCGTGCTTGTGCTAGTTCTTATCTAGGTTATAGGCTAACAATCTTCAGGTAAAAATCGAGTACTTGTACCAGATTGTGGGTTCAGCCAAGATTAAAAAATGAAAAAATTGTCTCAATGGCACGAGGTGTGAAATTGACATAGACAAAAAAATGCATAAAAATTGTTAAGTAAGGACAATTTAATAGCTCAGAAACGAAAGAATACAAACCCAAAACGTATTCCACAATATATACAACATCTTGTGGATTTCAAAAGCCAAAATATACCAATTTGAAATTGAGTATCCCCTGAATGCATGAAAACTTATGCTCACTTTTTTTGGAGATCAATTATTGACAAGGAGAAAGATTCCAATCAAAATGTCATTTATCAAAAACGACGAACAAATTCATTACAACAACAGGGTAGTTCATCTAACAAAGTGTAACATTTAAATGCACCTGATTCAACTTGCCTGATCAAAAAGCCTACAAAAAAGATGTGGTACAAAAAAGGCAACTTACGAAAAGATCTCAATACATCAAATCTTTAAAAATTTCAACAATAATGAAACTCATATTTTATAAACAATGTGGCAAGTAATTGGAGTTGGTGGAGGTTTTAAAGATTTACCAGAGAAAAGTTTGGGACTGTTCTTTTCTGAAGTGAAATTAAACGTCATAACACATATGTTACTTGATTGGTTGGATAATACAAAGATTGAATAATAATGTAATACACTCTTAGTTTTTTTATTTTCAAATATTTTGGCCTCGAGAATCACTAAAGAGACATTGATTTTCGAAATCTGCATCTGGTGCAGAAAAATTGGTACCGTTTATGCTATTAGTTCATAGAGAATGATTTATTAAACCGCAAGTTATTCACATAGACATAAATGAATATATTATTCGTAAATATGATCTTATGTCTAACGTGATCAGTCTTAAAATGTATATCAAATCTGTGGATATCAATAGCAGAAAACACACATTTATGACTGAACATCCCCTGAATGCATTTGCACGTATGTTAGGACATATCTTGCTCGGTTGTTTAGATGTCACTTATTAACATTGACATATTCTAATCAAAATTTCATTTATTAAAAACAACTTTCAAAATTATTTACAACAACATCACGACTTCAATTTGATTGAATGAAAAATTTTGTATCTTTTTGGTGAAATGTTATACTAGTTTTACAATTACAGTGGTGACAAACAGAAAACAGAAATAATCCAGATTCGGTAAGGCTCGTGTTTCTCAATCTTTACATCATGGTCAAGTTTTGTCTTTATTGTATGATTTTTTATAATTGCCATGCTGTTATTATATGAGACATTATATAAAATTGTAGTAAAGAGTTTTGTGGAACCTTGCACCTCGCATTCGATTAATGCTATCTGGAAGTATGTCAAAGGTCTAAAACCAAAAAAATTACATAATAATATCACGCATTTGGAATATAAAAATAGTGTAATTCAAAATTATGTTGATATAGCAAATACATTTAATGTGCATTTCACAAATATTGCTGAAGGTATAGTTGATAACAAATTATGTAATAATGATGAAGGTCCAAGATTCGATGTACTCAACAAATTTGTGAAATCAAAGTTACAAAGGGGTAGTGAAAAATTCATTATACCAGAAATGAGTATTTTAGATGTAAAAATGTATTTAAAAAAACTTGACAAGTCTAAAGCAACTGGTTTAGATGATGTTGGACGAAATATTTTGAGTATGTGCAGCGATGTCATTGCACCAGCTTTAACATATTTATTTAATCTAAGCATCAAATGTGGTAAATTTCCAAGTATTTTTAAAACTGCAAGAGTTTGCCCAATTTTTAAAAGTGGCGATGCTTGTAATCCTGATAATTATAGACCAATAGCAGTATTGCCTTGTCTCTCCAAAATCATAGAACGACATATAGCTGATAGTTTGTATATATATTTAAATAGTAATGACCTTCTTAATACTACACAGTCAGGTTTCAGACCTAAACATTCGTGCACAACTGCACTTACTAAATTAGTAGATGAATGGTTAGCAAATATAGATAATGGAGAAATAAACGGAGTTATATTTTTAGATTTAAAGAAAGCTTTTGATCTGGTTAATCATATTATTTTATTAAAAAAGCTTGAATATTATAATGTTTCAAACTGTACACTAGACTGGTTTAAGTCATACTTGTTTGAACGAAGTCAACAAGTTAAGGTCAATAACGTCATGTCTAATACTAAATGCATAAAAACTGGTGTACCACAAGGCTCTATCCTTGGCTCTCTGTTATTTATTTTATATATCAATGATTTACCACTAAACATAAAAAATTCATAAATAGATTTATATGCAGATGATTCTACATTACATAGTAAAGGTAATAATGTACTTCAGTTAACTGCTAACCTTCAAAATGATATTCATGTAATTGAAAACTGGTGTTCGCAAAATTGTATGAAACTAAATGCCAAAAAGTGTAAATCAACGATTATTGGTTCAAAACAGAGGCTTTATTCAACTGGGAACAGTTTAGATATCAAAATTTCAGATGAACAAATAGAGAATGTAGATTGTGAAAAACTTCTCGGTTTATATATCGACAAAAACCTAAATTGGAATGAGCAAATAGATAAAATGTCATGAACAATATCAAATAGAATCAATTTATTAAAAAAGATAAGAAAATATTTACCTATGCATATACGTATTATTTATTTTAATGCTTATATTCTGCCATTGTTTGATTATTGTTGCAATATATGGGGAAGTTGCTATGAAAGTGGAATAAATAAACTTAATAAGTTATTAAAGAAATCTGCTAGGGTTATAGTAGAAGCTGACATAATGACATCATCCAGTTTGTTGTTTAATAGTTTAAACTGGTTAAATGTGGAAAAACGCATTCAATATCAAAAGGCAATACTTGTATTTAAATCATTAAATGATATGGTTCCTAACTATTTACAAGAAAACTTTCATTTTATTGGTAATCAGAATTATAATTTACGTTCGGCTGATGAAAAACTATTAAATCTTCCGAAACCAAAAACAAACTTTTTAAAGAAAACATTTACATATTCAGGTTCTCAAATATGGAACAGTTTACCAAATGAAATAAAAATGAGTAATACACTTATATCTTTTAAAACAAAATGTTACAAATTTTTCATCAATTGTGCAAATTAATATGCTTTTTCATTATTATCTACATACAATTGTATATTGTGTATAATATATCATTATAATATTGTATGTACTTATAAATATGTTATTATTATTTTGAGGACTCTCAGGAAGATTAGTTTTAACTAATGGGATTATCCTCTTGAAATAAAGATTATTTATTTATTTATTTTATTTATTTTAATGCTGTCAATGTTAAAGCGTAATGTTGACTGCCAAAAACAATTATGTTATAACTAATCCCCGTATTTGAATATCGCGAAAGACGCATGAATTTAAAAATTATGCAGCACGAGCTTATTCTTGTTCGGTTACAAGTGATTCATTTTCTCTTAACTAGTATACATTTTTTGTTTAAGGGCCAGCTAAATCCCGCCTCTTGGTGCGGATTTTCTCGCTGTTTTGAAGAACCATTGGTGACCTTGAGCTGTTTTCTGCTCTTTGGTCGAGTTGTTTTCTCTATGACACATTCCCCGTTTCCATTCTCAATTTTGTTTATCAATAGTTATACTTTTTATGACACAGATTCAGAAAATTAAATGTATTTCCTGTATTACAGGAGTGAGTTGGATTCACTTCATATATTGTCATTTTCACTCTACTGTTTTGGCGTATGAATATATGTTTATTGCACACATTGGTTAAAAAGACAGATTGTCACTTAAAGAAGATTTATGCAAATTTTACAATAATGGTAAAGCAAGGAGTTGTATTAAATTCACTCAGGCTTTTAAATTTTTATATGTATAAATTAATTAATTGTCAGTATCAAGTCGCAAATCTTCAGTTTGAAGATTCAAGTGAGTGTCCGGTGAGAGGCTTGAAAAGTCTCGATAGTGAAAATAAACAAGTTATTTCATATGTGAAATCATCGGATTTTATCACAAAAGGAAATTGATATCATCTATATAATAAATCCATTTTGATGAATCCATTTATCAGTCAATTAAAAATTTAAATACGGGAGAAATTTTCAGAAACTATCAGAAAAAAAATGAAAATGAAAATAAAAATTTGTTCAGATGTTATTTCTTAATCATAAGCGTTTATCCAAGTTTCATAAAACTTAATGACGTTATTGATGTCTTATTAACTTAACCATGTTTACCCCGTATTATATCTTAATATAAATTGAAATATATATATATACAAAAATTGTCCTTTTGATATCTGTCAGTTGCTGCATATGAAATTTTTATTGTGCTTTAAATGTATTCCTGTGAAATTAACATTCACATGTCTATAACTGAACTTATTCTCTAACGGTCCAACATAAATTTTGCTGCACTGTCGTAGAGCATAACAAAGTTTAAAAATTTCAACATTGCATTATTGTATCATTTGTTTTACATTATAACATATATTTTTCCTGTTTACTAATATGTATCTTTCATCCTCCTGCTTTTTCTCCATTGAAAACGCAACATTGGTGTGTATTTACAGGAATTTGCTGAGTGACGACGAATTGCCATGCAATAACGTTATGAACATACAAATCTGCGTAAGATATTGAATCAATGCAGAATTAAGGCTATAAGTATACTGTAAAAACTCATCAATCATACTAGGCTTATAAATAAGTTTGCACGCCAGACGTGCGTTTCGGCTATAAAAGACTCATCAGTGACGCTGGAATCATAAAAAATTAAAATGCCAAATAAAGTAGGAAGATAGATAACATTGAGAATTTAAAATGCTGAAAGATTTTGCCAAATACAACTAAGGTAATCTATTTCTGGGATAGGAAATCCCTAGTATTTCGAACTATTCGAAGTTTGTATCTGATAAATCAATAAATACAATTTAATCATTTATTTATTAAATTCATGTATTGTATTACTTGTCAAATCTTAAGCAAGCTTAATTTTTACACATTACTATCATTAATTATGTTCAGGTAAAAATTATACAAACAATGTCTACAATTTACACAAGGCCGTTAGGTTTCGCGCTCAATGTCAGCACGAGTATCTTGCTTTTAAATTCGAATAGACATAAAAAGACAGTTTCAATGTACCATATTGTTAGTTGTTGAAAAATCATCCAGGTGTTGGACGGAAAAAAAAATTCACATTTATAAGATGCCTAGAGGTCGTGGGATAGGACGGGCAAGGCAACAAAATCCGTATGGTGGCGTTGGAAGGGGACAAGTTCGGAGAAACCCGGTCCGAGAAAACAGAGAACAAAGAAATCAACCCCTACAGGCTTGACAGGAAGCAGATGTACCGCAAATTGAACCGGAAGTAGTTCCACAAGCACCAATACTAGATCAAGGGCAACAAATAGTTACATGTAATGTCAGTGTACAGGCTGATAACAATGTTATAAATGATGAGGACTTTATGCAAGAAACTTCTTCTATTTCATGTAATTATAACAATGATCCTTTACTTGTACCTTTAAACAATGAGATTGACTTATTTGTTTATCAAGGCTTGAAAGAGAAAAATTGGGCTTTACAATATGTCAATTTGGCACTTTTATTACATCAGAACTTTAATGTTCCAAATTAATCCAAGGTAAATGAGCTTGCGGTATTGGATGGAGCTATAATAGTAAACACAGAAAATAGAAATTTAAGAGTGAAACATATTGATAACATAAAGGCATGGACAAACGCATTTATAAATTTTGCAAAAATAGTCATTCAAAGGCATCCGTTGCTAGCAAGTGATTTATTTCATATATAGCTTTAATAAGAGGTGCAGTAACTGATGCCCCATATGAAAGAGTGTATCAATATAACCAACAATTTAGAGGATTGCTCAGAATTCTACAAAAACTTTGTCACAAATTGATGGCAATTTATGGTTTCGCTTCATTGCAAAAGGTGCTTATGGAGGACAATCCCCTCCATCTGAAATGTTACAAAGTTGTTGTTATGACTATAACTTTAAAAAGGGGTGCTTTCGAATGAATTGCACATATAAACATGCGTGTTTGAGATGTAATGGGATGCACCCTTCAGCTTTATGTGTATATGCTAAAAACGTGCAAAATAATCAACATTTCAATATTAGAAATAACACTCCAAGGCAACCTATAGTAAATCAAATAAGACCATTTTCTCAACCGCCAAGATTGCAATTTAGACCACCTGCTTCATATCCTCACAATATTCGTTATTAAATGAACCAATTGCAGATGAAAAGACTGAAGGTCCAAGTTATGTATTGGAGTATTTGGACTTGACAATAAATACAATAGAAATGACTATTGAGATTCCTGAAAATAAGTTAAAAGAGTTATTATTGCAAATAAAAGCAGTTGCATTTCCTAAAAAGGTAACTCTAAAACAATTGCAGTCATTATGTAGCATGCTTGCCTTTTGTACAAGATCAATTCCATCAGGAAGGGCTTTTAGTAGATGGTTTTATATGGCTACATCAAAAGCATAAAAGTCGCGTCATTTTACACTGTGTCTAAACTACCCCGGCAAAAAATGTTTGGACTCGATGGTATCTAATATCCGGCACGGTGACGGAACATCAATAGACAGAGAAAAGGTAGTTTTCTGTTTATTTATTTGTTATTGTTATGATATCGAAGAATATTTATACATATATAACTATTTTCTATTGTGAGATGTAATATTTTCTACAACCATTCTAGATTAACGGAGAAATAAGTAAAAATGCACGTCAAAATGACGAATTGAGTAAACCTTGCCTCGAATTTGTTTAATTTCTCCTTAAATTGTTCACATGGTACGGAAAGAAATTTACGGAAAGAAAGATATTGACATGGAGATTGCAAAACTAGTCACTTTGAGCACCTCAATATTTGTATTTCTGCGTATGGAACGAAAGAAATGGGTCATGTCAAAATGGAAGCACCCGGTTTTATCAATGTGTACAACCCGGTTTTGTCCTAGATTTCACAAGGCAGAACCCGGTTTTGTCAAAGATAAAAAAATGCATAATCGCATAATATAATTGAATTTCAGTAATTTAAAGGAGGTTGGTGGCTGGTTGGAAAACTATTTCTTACAGAGGACAACTTATTATTTATTTGAATTTGTAATCACTTGAATTCCTACATTATTGAAACAAAAATAATTATAATTTTGCTTTGCATTTAAAAAAAAATACTCTAACTGCGAAATAGATAGAAATGAAGGTTTAACCGCAAATTGAGGTTTAAGCTCTCTATACGTTTTTTTTTATATGAATTATGTAAATTTTAGTGTTTAAACTTAAAATTAGAGTTTATGGTCTTAAAAATTGAAGGACGCACATTTGATATGTGATTTTCTTGCACAACAGGATGGTTATCTTTATAAGTAATCCAATCTACCTAGGGGTGTAATATTTCCTATGATCGTTTAAAATAAATCTTCTTAAGGCTAAATGTTCATTATAAGGCATGATAATCAGACAAAAGTATATATGCTTGCAGAATCGCCATAGAAAATGAATGTTTATGGTGAGAAAAGGATTACAATAATCATGCATTAAAAATCAAATCTATCTATCCCTAATTGTAACTATAATACTAAGTATAAATTAGTATAATAGTCTCAGGCCATCGAGAAAATGCAATAATGATTATTTTATTAATAGTTGTATAAATAAACGGTTCTGTTATCTCTCCATTGTGTTATGATTATCGTACATTGACCTTGGTCAATATATTATTGACAATATATAGGGACGGATTCAGGTTTTTTTCAAAGTTGGCGTAATTCAAACAGCTTACATACCGCAGAGCGTAGCTAAGCGAACAATGTTTTGGACGAATTATGCTAAAAAAAATCGTAAAAAAAAGATTTAATATTTTTTGGGCCATCAAAGGTGGGGGTGGGGAGCGTGTGACCTTTACGCCGCCTGGATTCGCCACTGATGTTTTATAACTAAATCGTATACCAACTTAAAATTTTATAAGAAATAAGAAAGCAGGGACACCCGCGAAATTGGATGTATGTGAGTAGGATTATCATGTTTATTCTAAAAATTCACATTGATATTTTGGAATAGTCGGAATGCGAGACCAAGCGATGCAAATTCGTGGCGGCTTGAACTATTTGTATGAAGCTTCATATGTCAAAAGTTAGAAGGTCTGACTGCAACATACAGAACCTCGCACACAGATCTTTTATGTAACGATGTTTCTATCTGTCATATGTCCATTTCCCTTGACCTCATTTTCATGGTTCAGCGATTTCCTAACAAAATGAATAGCTGATAATGGTTGATATCTATGATCAAGGTTAACATTTCGTGTTCAAATCCATATCTCTAATACCATAAGTAATAGGTCAGCTATATTTGCTCGTATGGCGCACATGACTATTTAAGTGACCTTGAACTTATTTTCTTGATTAATCGGTGAATGTTAAGGTTTTTTTTTGGTTGGTTTTAATGATTGTTATGTGTTCATGTCCGTCTGGCAGGTTTCATCAGACCTTGACTTTTTTGTTCCATGAACAATGTTAATTTTATGAGATACTTTTATTAAAATATTTATCTTGCAGACCTTCAAAATAAATTCGATAACGATCATTGCTGCAGTCGCTATATGTCAGTGCGTATAGTCACTCTTGTACAAATAATACGTAGTATTTATTTTTGTTAAAAAAAAAACGCAATTGAAGTTGTTTTGCCATGTCTGATTAGTTTATATCGTTCGTGCAAGCCTTAACTATGAATTGTTAGACTTTTTTTTTAATTCAAGAACGGTGCAATCTTGTTTGGAATTCTTGGTTGGTTTTAGCTCACCTGACCTCAAGGGAAAAGTGAGCTTTTTCATCACTTGGCCCCCGTCGTCCGTCGTCTTCCGTTAATTTTTTACATAATTTTCTCCTCTGAAATTACTGGGCTACAATACATTCAACAAACCTTATCCACAATCTTATGTCGGTTTTAAAAGGTCTAACGAAATTATGTTTAACTCTTTTTCATCATCATTGGGGTATCTAGTTTAAAAAGTTTTTGATGACCCCGCTTGTCATCAAAGATGGCCGACATGGCTTAAAATAGAACATGGGGGATGCAAGTTTTGTCATTATTTGAAAACAGCTATAGATAGAGAAAATTTAACAGGGGCAGATATGTTCATAATGTTGAGCTCTACCTTTTGTCCATACACATCAACTCTCACACGAATTCTTATAAAAGTTAATGTCCTTGAATGACAAATTTCTCCTTTTTTTTCCATTTCTGTCTATTATCTTGAAATATATAAAAGTTATATAGCAAAAATGACCAGCAAGACAATATATACGAATAAGTCGACTTTGTCGATATCCTTGTAAGAATTATTGACCTTTAATTACGATTTTTGCCATTTCTTTGCGTTTTTGCCAATTATCTTACAAAAATCTTCTCCTCTTTAACAATTTAATTAAACTTGGCCACACGCTTTATTGAGGTATCTGGTTTGAAAACCCACATGTTCAGCCATTTGTTAATTTATTTTTTGTTTCAGGGTACCAGTGTTAACGTTGCTTTTAATAAAATAAACAAAACCGGGTTCTATACATAGACAAAACCGGGTCATTGTGTAGTAAACAACATTGACAAAACCGGGTGCTTCCATTTTGACATGACCTATTTCATTCGTTCCATACGCAGAAAAACAAGGATTGAGGTGCTCAAAATGACTAGTTTTGCAATCTCCATGTCAATATCTTTCTTTCCGTACCTTTCTTTCCGTACCATGTGAACAATTTAAGGAGAAATTAAACAAATTCGAGGCAAGGTTCACTCAATTCGTCATTTTGACGTGCATATTTACTTATTTCTCCGTTAATCTAGAACGGTTGTAGAAAATATTACATCTCTCAATAGAAAATAGTTATATATGTATATATATTCTTTGATATCATAAAAATAACAAATAAATAAACAGAAAACTGCCTTTTCTCTGTCTATTGATGTTCCGTCACCGTGCCGGATATTAGATACCATCGAGTCCAAACATTTTGTGCCGGGGTAGTTTAGACACAGTGTTTTATTAGAGTAACAAAAGAAATGTTTAATGATTTAATGACATGGAAAATGTTTATGAAAATTTCAATGGAACCTCATTTATATTAATTGATAAATGGTTGTCAAACTTTGATATTCAGTTATTCACTGATAGTGCCGGTGGCGTGGGGAAAGGCTGTGGTTGCTATTTAATTGGAAAATGGTCTTATTTGCAATGGCCTGAAGAATAGCATCACACAGAAATTTTACAAGATATTACTTTCCTTGAAATAATACCAATTGCTTTGGCGATATATCTTTGGTACAACTTGTTTAAGAAAAAGAGAATTGCATTTCATATCGATAACTTAGCTGCAGTTGCAGTTTTGAACAGTAAGACATCAAATCTGAGAGTATTGCACATTTTGCGATTTAGTCTATTGGTCAATGATAGGAAGTTTTCATATTAAAGCTTTTCATATTTCTTCTATTAATAATTGTATTGCTGATGCACTGTCTCGTGGTCAGTTTCAGAAATTCAAAGATATGGCACCAGAGGCAGCATTTCCAACCTCAATACCTATGGAATTTTGGAACCTTTTAAGATTGAATTTTCAAATCTAATACAAAGTTCGTTGTCTGAAAATACTTGGAATGTTTATGACAATGCAATTAATTTATTTGAGTTATTCAGAATAAAATTTCAACTAGAACATTCTTGGCCTGTTCCTTTAACCGACTTGATTAATTCCATCGTGTATTTAGCAACAGAATCGTACTCACCAAACACAGCTAAGTCGTATCTAGCTGCAATGAAAATAAGTAATGTAACTGATACTACTGATACTTTTGTCATAAAAAAGCTATTGGGTGGAATGACAAAAACGTATAAAAGTTTTGACATTCGCAAACCAATTACTATTAAAATAATTGATGAATGAGCTACAGTTTTACCAAACATCTGTTCTTCTATATATGAGACCAAACTTTTTTCAGTTATTTTTGCATTTTTGAGAATTGGTGAAACTGTTAAGTCTGGTACAGGCAACCACGTTCTAAAAATTGATGATATAATTATGAATAAAAATGATGAAAGCATAAAAATGATGATTAATTCTTCAAAAACTGATCAAAATGGGCGTAATACTAAGCTAATTGTGTCGAAAAGTGACAATGCTGTTTCTGTGTATACAATTATGGCAAATCATATGACAGTTCGACCTCATATTGCAGGGTTTTTATTTTGTCATTTTAATCATAAAAAAATAACAAGAAATTAAGCTTGTAAGGTTTTAAACTCTGCACTTTAGTTCATTGGCCTAAATGAAAATGAGTACAACACTCATTCTTTTAGAATTGGAGCCGCAACAAATGCAGCTGAAAAGGGGAAATCTGATGACGATATCATGTTAATGGGCAGATGGAAGTCTCAAACATACATTGGTCGGGTTGTTGTCTCTTTGACACATTCCCCATTTCCATTCTCAATTTTAAAAGATATATCCGAATTGATACATCTCTATGAGTTTGTTGCATAGTGTGATATTATTGTTTTTTTCCGAAATTCCATTGACTAGAAGCATATGGATTCTGGGATCTTCTATAATTGCAAAAGCTGAAGCCCATACTATTTCAAGATTTACAGGACAAAATTTGGGATTTGAAAGTTAAGGTCTTTCAGTATATGGGTTGGAATGCCAGGTATGCACTGGCAGTCACTTGTATGTTGGTGCATGCATTAATCAATCGTTTTGGTGTTCCAAAAATGATACTTATACATTGTGGTGGAAATGACATTGGACTAGTCTCATGTAGTCAATTATTATTTCATTTAAAATTTGCTATTTATACTATCAGCAAAATGCTTCCAGGCTCTATGGTGGTTTTTTCAAGTATTTTACCACGACGCTCATGGCGTTATTCAAATAATCCTGTTGCTATGGAAAAAACTAGAAAACGAGTAAACAGGGGTTTAAGATATTACATGTTAAAGAATGGTGCATATTTCGTTACACATCCAGATTTTAATGATGTACATACAGCTCTGTTTAAAGATGATAATGTGCATCTATCATTTTTAGGAAATGACATTTTTGCTAATACATTACAAGAAGCATTACTGCAGTTTTTAAAATCTCCAAGTAAACACGTTTACCCATTTGAATGTTTATCATGAATTTTGGTGTTGAGGAAGTTGTGATGATTTGAATTATGTGTTGATGATGAATATCATTATTATCGTTGAAAAATGAATTTTTATTTGTTTAGTCGATAAATTGTTTGGCTGATTAACATGATATTGTTTAATACCATCATGTTAATTTGGCGGATTTGTCGAAATTCACTGCTTTGGTGACCCAGCAGAGACAATTGTTATACACTGACTGGAACACCCGTCAGTGTTTGATAGTCAACTTGCTGTAAACTGTTGACAATTTGTGTTATTTGTTTGAGGAAAATTAAATTGTCATGACAAATAAGCAGCCAAAAACTAATCAAGTTGTTGTTGTTTATTTTACAATGAATAAATGAACCTACAATTCTTAAATAATATCTTTGCTTAGTTTGATATTCATTGTTTATTCGTAATCAAATAAAGCAAACGTATTTCCGTATAACAAGCATTACACAATATCTTTTACACACATCAATTATATACAATAATACAATTTAATCATTTATTAATTAAATTTATTTATTGTATTACTTGTCAAATCTTAAGCAAGCTTAATTTTTACACATTGCTATCATTAATTATGTTCAGGTAAAATTATACAAACAATGTCTACAATTTACACAACGCCGTTAGGTTTCGCGCTCAATGTTAGCACGAGTTTCTTGCTTTCAAATTCGAATAGACATAAAAAGACAGTTTCAATGTACCATATTGTAAGTTGTTGAAAAATCATTCAGGAGTTGGACGGAAAAACCCTCCCATCCCTCCCTTTAAACATATTTCTGCTGTTTCTGAATTTATTTTACAGGTTGCAGTTTTCATTAATATTTTGGAAATTCTATCCATGTACATAAGAAGATCATCAAAAAATCGTCATGGCAGAACTTGTTTGGACTTTATTGATTATGGAGATGGCGGATTTATCGAAATTCACTGCTTTGGTGACCCAGCAGAGACAATTGTTATACACTGACTGGTACACCCATGAGTGTTTGATTTTGTGTTATTTGTTTGAAGAAAATTAAATTGTCATGACAAATAAGCAGCCAAAAACTAATCAAGTTGTTGTTGTTTATTTTACAATGAATAATATGAACCTACAATTCTTAAATAATATCTTTGCTTAGTTCATGACGAATAACTTTTCAAAATTGTTCCCTGCACTTTTTATTTTTGTTATTACATGTATTATCTGCACTGTATTATTGTTATTATTGTCTTGTAAATTGTTTGTATTCTTACGCTTTTGACGCACGATATCCATAAAGTGTTTTTCTTCAATATAATAATTATACTAGTATAACATGAAAAAATGGAATCCGTAATGTTAACGTAGAAAAAGAATAGGTTTTAAATAGAACATGAATATAACTTAAGACAGCCCTCATACAACCCGAATATTACTATCTTATTGATGCTGTATTCCATGAAAGTCATAAAGTCCTTCTCTGCATTCGTTTCTTGCTTCAGTCGATTCTTAAATAGTAATGAACTACAAACATGCATTGCTTAAGATTGTCCAAAAAACGCGTATTATAAAAACAACTTCCCTGTTCCTGTTTGGTATGGCCTTGTTTTTTTTTGTTTTTTGTTATTTATTTGATCTTGTATTTTGTACAGGTCTACCCTATGTCCTGTCATATCCATAAAATGCATCCGATTCCAGAAGAAACAACTTTAACTATCATAACTAAAAATACCTCTATAAAAGCAACAAATCCCAGAAACAAGATGAAATATACTTTCATTTGTACCACAGCTGTCATCATTTTGCTGATATCTAAAATAATATTGAAATGCAACAGCAATTTCTACTTGATACAAATAGATAGATGTTTTGACCTGAAATATAATCCCGGATAATATTTACATTTCCCTATAAACTGTTACGTCAACCAAATTTCACAATTAACTAAACAGTAAAATGAACTATGTTGTGACGGTCATGTGAAATATCAATAAATTAAACCCCACAACACATAATTGACATAATTAGACATATGATTTTAAGACACAAGATATGAGGTATTCACCCTGACACGAAACCAGTACATGTACATCAAAACACACAAGCAATGCGGATTTTGCGCAATTGAAAATAAAATTTTATTTCTAAACCTTTTTGCAGTGTTACGTGAAATGTCAATAAATAATCGAAAGAATTTATGCAATTTGTCATTCAATAATTGCCACATTAAGACACCTGATTGATGTAAATTTACCGCACATTTCTATTTAGAATTTAATGCACAACATTGTAGAATACATATTCATACAACATATGATTCTGTCTTCTGGAACTATTCATTTTGAGGAGGAAAACAATTATGTTTGAACGTTTGGAGTCAATAACTAGATTTCTTTTAAGAGTTTCAGATGTGTAATATTGTAAACAGATTTGAAAAAAAAATTCATATCTAAAATACTTCAATATATGTGCCGTGTTTATATAAACAAAGAAGTTAAAAGTAAAATAACAAAAATACCGAACTCCAAGGGAAATTCAAAACGGAAAGTCCCTTTCCAAATGGCAAAATCAAAAGCTCAAACACATCAAACGAATGGAAAACAACTGTCATATTTCTGACTTGGTACAGGCGAACAATGACCTTTCTTACATCAGATTTTATGCAAGCTCCAGGTAACAACTGTACCTCTTCCCAAATCAACCGCATTATTTGTCTAATTATGTGTTGTGGTTTGTTTAATTTATTGATAGTTCACATGTCTCTGACAACATAGTAATTAAGTACATCATCGCGTTTGTTTATTTGTAAAAAAAAATTGAATTTTTAATGTAAGTATGCATAAGGAAATTTTAATTTTATCCGGGATTATTTTTCAGGTCAAAAACATCCTTTTCAAGACAAGTATAAATAGCTGCTGCATTTATATGTTATTTTATACATCAGCATAGCGATGACAACTATGGTACAAATGAACGTATACTTCATCTTGTTTCTGGGATTTGTTGCTTTTAAAGAGGTATTTTTAGTTATGATAGTTAAAATTTCTTCCAGAATCGCTTGTATTTTACTTGAAATGATAGGATATAGGGTAGACGTGTACAAGATACAAGATCACATGAAAAATAAAAATAATAAAAAAATAAGGTCAGACCAAACAGGAAAAGGTAAATTGTTCTTGTATAACGCGTTATTAGAAAATCTTACGCAATACATTATTGTAGTTCATTACTTTTCAAAATATAAGCTTAAACGGGTCAGGAATGCATTGAAGATTCCGTTATTGAAAGACTTCAAGACTTCCATGGATCATAGCATCTGTAATATAGCAATAGTCGGGTATTATGAGAGCTGTCCTAAGTTATATTCATGTACCATTTAAGATTTTTTTTTTTCTACGATAAATTAATTGATTCCATTTTCTTTACATGTTATACTAGTATAATGGTCATATTAAAGGGGAAAAACACTTCATAAATTTCTTGCGTCAAAAGTGTAGGAATACAAAAATTTGTATGATAATAATAACAATAATACAATGCAGATAGTATATGTATTATTAAAATAAAACGCAGACGGAACAATTAAAGAAAAGTTATTCGTCATGAATACATTTTGTACATTGATTTATCATAATCATTGCGTCAGTAACTAATTATTCTACAGTAGATTATTGGCACTTAATCTACGTTAATTTCACATCTTTCGTAGATTAGTCGGTTAGTATCGGATTTCAATTCGTCGTCAGTCAGCTAATTTTCGAAAATATACACCGTCATTGGGAATTCTATGCGACTGTCATACAAGTGAAATTTTCAGCTAGCTATAAAACCAGGTTTAATCCATCATTTTCTTCACAAGAAAATGCCTGGTCCAAATCAGTAATATTACAGTGTTTTCCATTCGTTTGATGTGTTTGAGCTTTAGATTTTGCAATTTGATAAGGGACTATCCGTTTTGACTTTTCCTTGGAGTTCCGTATTTTTAATATTTTACTTTTTTCAATGGGAAAAAACACAGGAGAATGACAGAAACATATTATAAAACAAGAAAATATATTATATAAATAAATGCAAAACAAATTATACAATACATGCATTGTTTTTAAAATTTTCAATCTTTGTTATGCTCTACGAAAGTGAAGCAAAACTGACAGTGCTTAAGAAATTAAGATCTGTCTAAATTATTTGATACTATTTTGTATAAGTACAAAAACAGCTGTGTAAAATCACTAGAAAATATATGAACGGTTGAATATTCTATATTTAAATATTTCTTATATATATTATAATATGTTCAACTGCCTATATTATTGACTACCAGTATAAATTGTTTTGTTTTGTTGAGATTGATATTTTTTAAGTAAAACATTTTTATAAAATACTATATTTTTTTATTGGAAGTATATGATGTATTATTAGCATTCGGCTCTAAGGTTGAGTATCATGACATGGGACTGATAAAACATCTGATACGAAAACACTCATGTAATATTCTGATAAAAAGTAAAATAACTAAAAAACCGAACTCCAAGAAAACGGGAAGTCTCTTATCAAAAGGCAAAATCAAAAGCTTAAATACATCAAACGAATGGAAAACAAATGTCATATTCCTGACTTGGTACAGGCATTTCTTATGTAGAAAATTGTGGATTAAACCTGGTGTTAAAGCTATCTCTAAACCTCTCACTTGCATGACAGTCGCATAAAATTCCATTATATTGACAATAATGTGTGAACAAAACAAACAGACTTAATAGGTAAAAATGTCAAAAATAGGGGTACAACAGTGAACATTGTGTTATAATCTTGATCACTATAAAAACAAACAAATATGTCAACAAAGAAAAACAAAATGGCATATAAACAAAACAAGAAAGCAAAAATGAAAGACAAGAATACAAAAAACAACCACAGCATAACAACAAAATGGCGGGATGTACAAATACCGAGCCACGCCAAAAGGATATTACCGAAAATAGACTAAACGGTAAAGGTTAATAATTTACAAAGACAAACAAAAGAACACTATAACATGTGATTAAGATAATAAACAACGTCAGTACAAAATCGTCTCGTTTGTCATAGATTCTAGTACTAAGATGACCGCTTATGTCAAATTCGATGTTTAAGTCTAAAAATGAGACGGAGGAAGCCGTGTCTATTGTTTCTTTAATTTCTAGTTCTGGGGGATATATTAATGGAAACCAATCAGAAAAGTTTGGATTGTTAATGGAAAAAAACATCATCAATGTATCTGAATGTGAAATCAAATGATCTGGCTTCTATGATTATTATTAAAAACTTGAATAGTTGGAGGTTTATAATATAACATGATATTTGAAGTCCAATCACATAAAGAAAAGTTGTGTTTAAAAAAAATATCGAGGCTGTTATGATTAGAAATAAGAGGAAAAGATTTCGATTTTACTAATCTGATATTTAACATTTGCATAAGCTTTGGGGTCATATCAAGAACTTCGTCAAACATTCAGTGATAGTTTCAAAACTTGAACAGAAGTTTCTTGATTATCAGGAAAAATCATCAGAAGAAAAATTAGAATTCTGCCGTATTTAACTGATTAATGAATTGATAGATAGATTAGGGCAGTTCCCTTTTGTATCTTTCGCCTCTCTTTTACATTGGCAACAGCAATTGAAGGTGAGGCTTAGGATTCCGCCGACATCTTTGCTTATTTTTCATATAATATCTCATCCAATAACACCATACAAGCAAGGAAAAGGTTCATTAGCAAATGAAAGAGGTTTTAAATATATCACTTTGTCCATAAAGGAATTAGTTCTATGATTTTGCTGAAACTTTCTTAATGCATGCACATTTTTGTCCTTACTTAACGATAAATCTTTGGACCTGTTCTAAAACACGTTTAGATGTCTTTAGACAATCATAGGACATATGTTAGTCCTAAGATACCTTCAAAAGGTCTCCATCCCATGAAAGTTATTTTGAATATCGCAGAGTTTGTTTCCATTCGCAACTTGCGATTATATGAAATGACTGTTTGCTATAATATAGTTATTTTTAGAGAAATTATTTGTAATAGAAAAGAACAATATGCTCTGAAATACCTTACTGTGACTTGACTGTAAGTGTTGCTCTCCACCTATTGCAACTTTTCAAAATTCTGACCAAATTACAATTTGTTTTATAATTTATAAATTACAATACGTTGTTATGAAGTTTCCATGGGAGATAATCAATTTTTCTTTCGAAAAGTCTTCTATATTCAAAAGAATAAGATTTTAGGTTATCTCCCATGGAAACTTATTAACAACGTATTGTAAGTTCACATATATTTTACTGAATATAAGATGTTTTAATTCAAATGATGTCTGGTTCTTATGAATATAGAAGACTTTCCAAAGAAAAATTGTATGAAAGCTTAGTTTTGACATTTTTATAGCAATTTAAAATTACTACCTATCACCTTTAGCATGACAATTACAATAAAATTTGTATACAAATAGTTAGACTGATTTTTCATATATCATTGAAGTTGAATTAAAGTCTTATAGGATTGTATGTTTGCTTTATTTTATCACCTTGCACTTTCACGACTTTATTGGGGTTTTCTACAGCAGTTTGTTCATTAAATATCTGACCAGTTGAACAGTTTGGTTTTATAAAACAAATTGCAATTTGGTCAGAATTTTGAATAAATTGCAATAGGTGGAGAGCAACACTAACAGTCAAGTCAGAGTAATAGGAACGATCAACCTATGTATTTGTTTAACGCACAGGATTTTAATCAGAAAATTTTTCTTAAGTGAGTTATCCAGCGCTACATATTGTTGTTTACGACAGTTGGATGCGTTTTTTTCTTGGTTTTGTAAAATTTTGCATCGATGGGTATTTTTACCAAAATGAAATATTTTGTATGAAAGACAATTATATATATTTTTGATTCCAATAAAATTTTTGTTTTGGTTACAAATGTTTTTCTAAAACATTTTTTATAACTACTAACAATATCCCAAAAAATTTCAAAACAATAATTTAGAGCTTTTAAAAGATAATCCTTAAAATTGCACACACGAAGCTATGATATTGTTATATTGAGAGTATTTTAGAAAAACAAACATTCTGCAGAAATAATTCAGTGTCAATGGCCCTATCTCTTTTCCAGATTTTATTTCATCCACGTTTCCAATTTTGTAGTTCTGTGTGGAACATTAGTTGGGTTTCTTTTCATTTTCTGTTGTTTATTGCTAAGCAATTTGTCCTTTTAATATTTCTATTGCACCTTTACTTGTCTTCTTATTTGTCTGAATATGTACCAGTTAAAAAAAAATTCAAATATAGAAGCAAATTATCAGTAAATATTATATTTGATCATCATCATCATCATTAGAAACAGCATCACTATGATTATTATTTTTTTTATTAGGTGAACAGTAAAGGCCTAGGCACTTGTCCAAAATTTGACATTTTTACAGCATGTGTTATCGATTTTGATTTCCATTGTCTTGAACAAAAACAATGCCCATCAGGTAAGTTTTCAATTAGTAATAAATAATTTGTGTGTAAGTTACATCACTAGAAAAGACAATTCAACATCAATAAATGCCAATGTTCATGATACGGGACAGGCACGGTGTTATGACACGATCTTAAATTATTTTTGTGATTACTCATTCAAAATTTCAGTAATCTTGATAAATGAAGAAAACGATGCATAGACAGTAGTTGATAAAATAGGTACCCCAAAAACCCATTTAACTCAATAATATCCGTATTACAGACAAACCAAATGTTGTTACGTTCAAAACATATTGCATACGAACAAAGCACGCGGTAAAAAAAAGATGGTATCCCCGATTCAATAGCACGTTTTTTTTAATGTCATGCGGTTAACCTTGTGTTGATTGGGGTATGTAAGTATACAGAAGACAGAGAACAAGTATGATATCGACATTTAATTTTTTCGCCTGAATTCTCTGTGCGATTTTACTTTTACGTAGGTACATGTAAGTTCGTTTAGCTTCAACATATCCTAGTTTCATATAAACTTAGTTCATGTACGAAAAAGCGTTTTCAAAAACATTATCAAACTGCCATAAATACTTACATTGTATTAAATGTACGGAAATACTTTCTCAAACAATTTTCTCATTGCTAAACATCTGTATTTGATTCTTTTACGTTATGTGTAAGAAAGGTAAATACAATACAAATTTCTAAATATAAGAAATATTGTATACAATTTTTTTTTTTCAAAATTTGCAAACTCAAGGTCTTTACACGTTTATACTAACATAGAATATTTGCCGTCTTACATTTCTATTCTAGCGTCATTGGCCTTCTGTAGATAAAATGCAAGTCTGTCGTTCTTAATTATAATATAAAAAAGAAGATGTGGTATGATTGCCAAATGAGACAACTCTCCACAAGAGACCAAATGACACAGAAATTAACAACTATAGGTCACCGTACGGCCTTCAACAATGAGCAAAGCACATACCGCACAGTCAGCTATAAAAGGCCCTGAAATGACAATGTAAAAAAATTCAAACGAGAAAACTAACGGCCTAATTTATGTACAAAAAATGAACGAAAAACAAATATGTAACACATAAACAAACGACAACCACTGAATTACAGGCTCCTGACTTGGGACAGGCACATATATACAGAATGTGGCGGGGTTAAACATGTTAGCGGGATCCCAACCCTCCCCTAATCTGGGACAGTGGTGTAACAGTACAACATAAGAACGAACTATAAAAATCAGTTGAAAGAGGCTTAACTCATCAGATGGATAAAAATACAAATACTACAAATACAAGTGGACGTGGCCGGGTACTTGTACATCAAAACAACAAAAATACACTAAGTACAGATCTGAGAGTTACTGACAGCTAGTTCAAAGCCACTAACAACTAATAAAAAAAAATCATGCATCTAAGACTAAATTATCAGCCTGGTATCTTAGATACATGTTTACCATTAAAACTAAAAGTAAGAAGTAAATTGATAAATTAATTGCAAAATTAGTCACATATATGTATAGAAATGTAATGTTCAACTGGTTTGTTTTTAAGGTTATCGATGCTGTGTCCATGGTTGCAATAAGCGATGTGCAGCAGTGACAGTTAATGGAAAACACTTAGGTTTGTTTCTTTAATACCAATTTATTAGAAAACATTAAAATTGTATTCAATTATAGATTTGACCTTTAAAGTTTCTATATGTTCACAACTACAATGTACGGGTTTCATGGACGAGTCATACCATAACATAATTACATGCACTATCTTGTTTTTAATTATTGTTGTAAGTCCTAGATTTCTTGAAAAAAATCTCTTATGTGGTCTTAATAGGAATAAACTTATCATTTCTTTCATATTCTATTGATTTTTAAAGATATTTTATACTTATTCTGGTATAAAACGACAGTAAATAAAGAATTTCGATTTTGCAACGACTCATATTCAGTTACACGATACTGATCTAGTGGTTACAAACGCCTCGTTGGGTCTCCTTATTTTCCATTCAGAAATGTATTATCTACTTCCGTCAAAAACTATTATCAATCGATGACCATATTGTAAAAACATACATGGTACAAATTATGTTGCACCAGATGCACATTTTCTTCAATTAGTTTCTATTTAATGATTCTCGAGGACATGATATCTAAAAATTCAAAACTTAATAAAAAGGTTGAAAAACTGATAAAACCAAAAAGGATAAAAATTAAACTAAGCCCGGACAATGAATCAGATATATGCCTGAGGAAAATACATTATTTTTTTTGTTTCATATTTTTCATGTCGGGGCCTTTTACAGCCGATTATACGGTCTGGTTTTTCTCATTGTTGAAGGCCGTACGGTTGCCTATAATTTCTTACATCCGCTTTATTTGAACTGGATAGTTGTCTCATTGGCAATCATACAACATATCCTTACTATTATAATAATCAATTAATTCACTACTTAACAAGTATTTCTTATTCTATAATTACTTAATCTGCAACACAATTCGATTATTTTGAAACCCAAGTATGTAAATCATATATGTAAAGCTTTTCTTGGAGTGGTGCGAAACATAAATTGTGGTCTTGTAGTATTACATGAATATATAAGCTATGTACCTGCTGTAATAAATAACTACATTAATTGTTTCACTAATAAATGGCTTGTGAATTTTAAAACTCATCAAAGATATCCAAACTATATATAAAAACATTTCTTGGCTATATTGTTGATAGATAAAATAAAATCATGTATTAACTCATACTCGATTACCTTTATCATTAACAAATCTTACTCTGAATATAAATTTCTGTAAGTTTTCTATTTCGTTAATGTACCTGTGTGGCCTGTATCGAGATCAGGTCTAGTAACAACTCGATTCCGTCAGTCATTCCGTCTTTCGTTCCGAAATTCATTAAGGCTACCTAACTTGTTTCATTTGTTTCTCAAATGGAAAAAGGAATTCCTTTAAAATCATCCAAACATTCCATAGTGATTGCACACACATTTAAGATGTATACCTCCTATTTTGGACAGTTTCGCGTTATTTTATCATAGTTTCTGCATTCATGGAACTTTCTGATGTTTATTCACATTTTTCATCTTGTACAATGGTAATAAATCAGGATTTACAATTCCCCAAAACATTATAACCAGACTCATTATATGGTATGAAATTTTTATATTCCAGTTGAAAATATGGTTCTTAATGTTGAAAATCAGACATAAGATGATAGGTCTGTCAAAAGAAATATATATATTATGTAAAGAGCTTTTTGTTTCAGACAACAGAAAAACCAAGGAGGTATACATAAATGTAGTCTTTTAAATGCAGCAAAACTCAGACTGTTGATACAGAGGAGTTCTATCTTATTTCATGATAATTGTCGATCAATAAGTTCGTTTGTTTTAATGTTAATTTAGGCCTCATATGTTACTTGGTATATTTTGCAGGGTCTTGCCGTGCTTCCTATGGTAAACGTGGAAAACAATGTACAGTGGATAGAAGTTGTGAGGGACATGAAAAGTGTTGTTATGGGAAATGCCGAGAAGTCCGAAAACAAATTGTTAAGGTTCTTTATCCTATCAAAAGTTAGTTCATTGTAAAATTATACTTCTATTAATCAATTTTAATTTTGTAACCAGTAAATCACTGTTTGTCATTTGTGAAATAAAAAAGATTCAGTTAAGTTTGTTTTATTTGATATACAGTAGTCATTTTTATGAATAATTATACAACAAAAGCAAATGATACCTAATTTAATAATAAACATCATGTTTATATTTCGAAAACATATTCCTTGTCAATTATGCTCGAAAACAAACATTTGAAGAATCAAAGTTGTAGACTTGTTTCCTTTCCCCTTTATTTGTTTGACTCGAACACATATAAGATGTCAATGTTAACTAGGTTGGCCTAGATACCAATTTATAGTAGGGGTTGAGAATCAACGCAACGAAATTGCCATCGTTTTACCCAATTCAGTGCTCACAACTGTTGTTGCCAGAATTTGCCAGATTGACACCAAAAGACGTGTTTCTTTCGCATCACGGTGCGGAGCTATTAATTTCAGTCGATATACACGCCATCTTGAAATAATTACTTATCAAATATAGATTCTGATTGGTTGCTTTATTATGCGGCTGAGATACAGTAACAGCTATTGGCTTAACTGAGATAAAGAATTACAGACTTTTCTCGTCTCAGGATAAGACATCAAATGCCGGAAAATTAACTATGTGTATTTCAGTTCCGATCAACTGTCATTAATTCATGTTTTTTTTATTATGTATACATTGCACACTGAAATTCAATATTGAAATATCAATTATCAATACGTGTTTATTTGCTTTGTTAATCTGCAATATGGACGATTTTTTTGCTAAACAATGTTCCTATACAATGTTTACAAAAATGCATTATCTGTATTTTATAACTTCTGCCAATCTAGGCATACTTCCCGAGAGGCACACCTCCAGAGTCGTGTCTATTTGTAAATGTTTTAATTTTCAACAAGTAAAGTGGACAAAATTTTAAAAGCATGGGTGTACAACGCACACTCTTAAAGTAGAACAACATCATTTTCAATGAAACTAAATATTTATTGCTGTTTACAATCATTTATGTTATTGCTTCGCATTGCAAGCTAAATGGCAACTAAACGCTGAACAGCCAGTTTAAAATTTCAGAAAAGTTCATTTTTATATATATACAATTGCTGTGTGTTTGTTTTTTCTACATTGGCTAGAGGTATAGGAGGAGGGTTGAGATCTCACTAAACATGTTTAACCCAGCCGCATTTTTGCGCCAGTCCCAAGTCAGGAGCCTCTGGCCTTTGTTAGTCTTGTATGATTTTTAATTTTAGTTCATTTATATGTTTTGGAGTTTAGTATGACGACCATTTTCACTGAACTAGTACACGTTTTAGGGGCCAGCTGAAGCATCTCGGTGCGGGATTTTCTCACTGTGTTGAATACCCATCGGTGGCCTTCGTCTGTTTTCTGCTCTTTGGTCGGGTTGTTGTCTCTTTGACACATTCCCCATTTCCATTCTCAATTTTAAACATTGATATTCCAAGTCTAAGACATCCATTTTATATCAATCAATATCTAAAAATACCACATTTCCAATACTAAATCAACAACCACATGCATACATCTATACTATTAAATGAGAAGACCTCATTTTGTGTGTCGCTTCTCTTCCTTCCACAGTAAATTAATCATCATGCCTCTGTGTCCTGTAGGTACCATGCATAGTCGCATTTGTCATCCTCGCTTATGATTATTTCGTTTGGGTTATTTTGGGAGCAAAATGAAAATAAAGGCGTCCGGATATTGTTTCCGTCATCGGACGGACTTTTAAGTCATAGACAAGACTTCCGTTTAGGACTGTTTGTTTAAAATTACACAGAATTTTGGTAAATTTGCAAACAACCCTTAATTCCTAATTTGATTACATACAATGTTTTGGGTACCTGAACTACAGGAACCGGTATCAAACATTCCTTCGGTCCCTGGATCGATTTTTTGGGACCCCTGGAACCGTATGCAATCATGTTTTATTTAAGAAATAATTCATGCAAGCCATAGATTTGTTGAAAATTTGCTTACACTCGGGATAAAATTCCAATATAACGACCCAGGCCATGTGGAAATGAAAACAAATCTATGGAATGCATGAATTATTTTGATTCTAATATGGTTAAGAGTATTTTATTTTGGCTCTTCATAATTCTAATCTTATTTGCAAATATCACATAATAATCTGATTTCATTAGTGGAATCCGTTTTGAGTGACTGAAATTGAAAAGGTTAACATATCGATTATAATGTCTTCTGCACAACGAAACAAAAGCATGACCGTTGACAAAGCAACTCGCCTCCTAAAAGTTGTGCGTTAATGTTACTACAAATAGTTGACCTTTGCGTTGACATTCTTTAGATTTACATCTAATATTTTTAACTGGTGAAAAATTTCCAAATGTTATATTGACATCAGTTCATGTTTAAGATACTTTTGATACCTTTCCTGAAATTCTCCAGTCATGAAATCTTTTACAAAATTCATCCTACAACAGTTTACATACTTTCAACCACGCTCTAAATGCCTGCAATTTTGCGTGTGTGCTATAGTATTACCTTAAATTAGGATAAAGCGAAGCAGTCCACAGCTTTTTAGAAAGCTCAAACTTGTTTATTATTTGTATGCAGCAGACTTCATTCAACGACTTCTTGATAAGAAAGGAAAATAATACTGTATTTCTTTTATTTCATGTCCCGCCTTAAAGAAGATGTCTTATCACTAAATAAGTAAAAAGGACAACGTAGGATAATGACAGTTTTGGTCCCCTCTTACAAAATCTTTTTATTCGGATAATCATCAGTCCATTCATAGACATTATGGAAAATGTAGACCGCTTTAATGTTTACGCGAACAGCTGGGTGCAACTGGTTTAGCATAAAACACTATAAAGAATCACATTTTAATATGTTTTACCACACATTTTAACAGATCTAGTTGTTGAATTTTACATTTCAGTGTGTGTGTGATTACTGCCATGTCTTGTTATTTCTTTATTTGACTTTAAAAGAGCGGCATACGTCAAAAATAAACAGACAACACCAGACAACACCATAGCAAACAAAAGACTAAAAAACAAACAACAGAATAAAAAACACAACATAGTAAACTAAAGACTAAACAACACAAACCCCATTAAAATTCGGGGTATTCTTAGCTGATCCGGAAGGGTAAGCAGATCTTCCTTCAGATGTGGCACCCGTCATCTTGCTTATGTAATTAATAATAGGTATGTCACATTCGATAAAAAAAGAGGACGGGATAGTGGTTACGACGATTGGAATATGTTCGTCGACGTCTATGACATAGATATTCCAAAACGGTCATCAAACTCGTGATGGCTTCCGTAAAATTTTAAAATTGATGATTTCAACTTCATCACTTGGAACTCTTGGTTTAATAGCTTCCTTGTGAGCAGCAATCCTCTATCCAGGAAATCATGATAAATTGAATTCTTAATAAATCCTGTCAGCTATAAACATGATAAAGGAGAACCAGTTAAATTTCGAACGTATAGGAGAATCATTTGAGAAATAATCCCAAAATAGTCCATTTTAATAGGTGTGTTTTGGTACAACCTTTAGGTTGCACTTTGTAAATACAGCTGTTTCTCAAACCACGCCTCTTTTGGGGAGATTTAGAATATTCATAGAAAATTAATTTTGTTTACATACTGGTTCCCAGTTATGCTCTCTGTGTTCCATCTCATAGAGACATAACTTGGGAATGTTACCAGTAAATATACATGTGCATATTGTTTACATTGAAATCTGTGGTAACCCTTCATTCGAGGTAGGGGTAGTTAAGAAAATTAGTGTTAGTTTAAACTCTGAAAAGTTCAGGGCATATAAACGTTGAAAATATGCCGCACAGCCCTATATTTTGACCTTTGTAAAAAATTGTAGTGCATATGAACTTTCAATTCTAGGATAAGATTTTGTTCAAAACTTCATAGTAAAAGTGGTACAGTTTTAGCCGTAAAAGGAGTTCCTATGGGAAATTGCATTGTCAATATTTACAGAAATGCAACCTATATAGGGTGAAAAAAGAAAACATTCAGAATTTAACCAAATTTGCTTTATCTCACAGATTTTAAAGAAATTAACTCAAATATGAAGTTTTATAAATATTTCATGAAGATTGATAGAATCCTGGGCCTTAGATATGATGACTCAGCATAAATTCACAGTTTACAGTATGCATAGTTTACTTAAAGTCCTGAATACAAAATTAATTCATAATATTTGCATGTTTGTAAATTAAATTGTTAAGAAGTGCTTATATTTACTCTTCGCAGTCATTGAAACTCATCGATCCTTCCTGAATATTATTTATGGGATGTTTGTGTCCTGTCATTAACCCAAAAGTAAGCCGTAACACCTAAATCTGCTTTTTTGTCACCACGGCATAAAAAATACAAGCTAGAAATACAAAAATATCTCAACAAAACTTACAATAGTGTGTTCTATCCTGAATATGTACTAAATATTCCAAATTACTAGAAACAGCAGAATAATTTAGGAAATTTGAGGCCCCAGGGGCAAAAAACAGAGAAAATTGCCTACCCCCTGGGTCATAAAACAGATAATTTAACTTGTAAATGCTATGATTTTATGATTTTTAAGTTTTTGATATAGAAAACAATAACTATGCTTGGAAGTTATGCAAAAATTAGATGTTAGCAGTCATCTCTATAACATTTTAAGTGAATTTATATCTCAGACTGGTATCTGCATACATACAACTATTGCAAATATGGCTTTGTTTGAACACTTCTAGTATATTTATTAGGTAAATTGTGTCAGATATATGGTTACAGATGATACTGTTGTGACAAGAATTCTAAATTGACCATTTGAGGTAGAAAATGTGAACTTTAATTGACAAATAGGCATACAGTAAGATGTGGACTGGAGACAGAGGCAGGATTGGATATTTTATATAATCTTGAATGTTGTAATGATTGACTGCTAAACATAACATTTATAGTATTCTGATATGCTTTCAATATGTTATCAAAACAGTTTTAAACAGGTTCTAGGCATTTTATATCAGAAAATATGCAAATAGGGTAAGCTGGCAATAATTAAAGTCTTGTTTTCAAAT